CTTTTTTGGTGCCTTTTCTCGTGCTTTTTTGGTGCCTTTTCTCGTGCCTTTTCTCGTGCTTTTTCTCGTGCTTTTTGGCGCCGGAAAAGCACAACTCCGGAGCCTGGAGGAGCACCAGAAAAGCACAACTCCAGAGCCAAAATTTGACCGGCCAGCCCCGGATCCAGCCGGGCTCGGGCAGCCGCAGCCCCAGCCGGACATTTACTCTAGTTGGCCCCAGCCGCCAGCCCCAGGCGCCAGAGCAAGCCAGCCCCGGCCCAGCCAGCCCCAGCCCAGCCAGTGCCAGGCCCAGCCGTAGGGGGACATTTACTTTGCTAGTGGACCTCCCCAGAGCAAGCCAGCCCAGCCCAGCCAGCCCCAGGCCCAGCCCTAGCCTTGCTAGCGGACCTCCCCAGAGCAAGCCAGCCCCAACCCAGGTTCAAGAAAGGCTTGGAGAAGACCAGGGCGCGCAGCCTTGCAAGGCTTTGTTGGCTTGGGCACAAGAGTGTGCCGTGTAGAGCACCAAAGCAGTGGACCAGTGGCAAAGGTATGAAGGAGAAAAAGGTGCTGCCAACATATAATGGGACTATTCAGTTTAGGTAGATGACTTTTCAAATTTAGAAACCCGCTTTTGGGGTCCAATTTTCTCGTGCGCTTGGTGGTGCCCATCTTTGTGCTCACTGTTAGTGGGCCGGGGCAGTGTCCAAGATTCATCTTAGAGAGTGAAAGGTCTCGAGTCAACAAGAGCATGGGAGACAACTATAAACAAACCAGACCTGGAGTACATCAAATATCTGGAGCAATATGCATTGAACATGTAGAGATTGGATAAAGAAGGGCACGCCATGATGGCATATCTTTGTAATTCTTCTGGACACTTTTTTTGTCATGCTTTCCTTGTGGCATTGTTGATGAGCCAGTCAGATCCATGATTTCAGGATTCATCAGAATTCAATCTTTTCTGATGTTTGCTTTCAGGTTTCCACCAGGCGTGACACGTTTGTTTCCTCCAAAATGTTCATGCATCAGAACATGTCCATGTCCAATTCCGTGTCCATCAGTTCTGAAGCTTTCAGAACACAATGCCAACTAGAAACGAATCAGCTCAGCCAGCTCGAAGAGATAGTACATGATAGTACTGTTAATCATGCTCCATCACACCTTCAACATGTGCCCCAGGAACTCCCACAACTTCCGGTGTCCAAAGCAATTCCCTCTCTCAACACTTTCTCACCAAATCTGTTGACCTACATAAGACATATAAGGTGTGTGTGTGTGTAAAGACTACCAGGGCCTCGCCCGTCCTTGGACGCCTTTCTTCGACCAACTTCTGGAACCCACACACTCGGTGCCCAAAACAGAGCGGAGGTGTTTCAGTCCAGTTCCCCCTTTGTGGACCAAAATGATCACGTTGAAAAGCCGAAAGGGTTGAAACTCCACAGCCCGACGCCTTCGTCGCCCAAACAAAACGTGTTTCTTTTTGTTTGTTGTTTTCCGCATGTTGGGCGCCTGAAGCATCGAGCCCAAGGCTTGTGCCGCAGAGGAGGAGGTGTTGAGACCGCTAATCACCTCGGTCGAGTCGAGTCGAGTCTCATCGGTCTCTACCGAGACAATCAAACGGACAAAAACCCTTTACTTCAAGCGATCCCATGCTTTTACAAAATTACACCAACCCTCACCTGGCAGACGGAGGAAAAAACATATGGAAAACACACTTGGAGCCTGGTGAATTGGTACACTCCGACTTGCTCACATGGAAGTGGGAAGTATACACCACCTACTAAACCACCTGTATATGCATAATATTGCATAATCATCTTTATCAGGGGCCAATGTCCACTTCCGTGTTTTTTGTCTTTCTATAGGATGGCAAGTCGTAGGCCTCTTCGCACATCTCCATGAATCTGTAATCGCTGTACTGTAGTCACCCTGCTCCCAGTCTACACACGTTCACAACGTCTCCATGATCTTCAGGTGGCGAAGGTGGGGGAAAAACCAGTGCCGATTCGGTGAATCCAAGCGAAAGCGCGCGCTGTGAAAGCGCGAAGTCTTCGACACAGGGAAGCAAACTCAATGGGAGGATCATGAACGGAACTCGGAAGGACAAGGTGAAGTTCTGAAAACCACCACCAACAAAAAAAAATCCAAAGTCCAGTGTGATGCTCCAGAATGCCTAGTTATAGCAAGCTAGTAGAAACTCTATCCCCCCAAAAAAAACATGCAAATATGTGCAAATGATGGAGAGGCTTTTTGAGGCTTCTTGTGGATAGCTGGAAGGGCTGGGAACCATGGCCACCAGCGGATTAAACCATGGTGCCCTGAAGGTGTTTACTTTAAACCAGAAACCTTGATATAAGGAAAGGCCCCTCTATATAAAGGCCCCTCTATGTAAACCTATAACACCTTGATATAGGGTAGACCTTGAACCATGTCTTTCTGCAGCGCTGCGGCTGTCCAAACGTCCAAACGTTTCGACCCCGTCCGCAGGCTGGGCACCCCGAGCCGATTGACCCGCCTTCGGCTTGGCCTTGGCCACCTGGGCAGCCGGGTCGGTGGGGTGCGGATGGTGGGTGGAAGAAAAATGCCCTTCGCTACTAGTAGCTTCTTGTTCCTAGTAGCGATGCCAGGAGCCCCGTTCGTAGCTTCTTGCACCTAGTAGTACGACCAGGAGTAAGTGAAGGTTGCAGGTGTCTTTCTTGAAATTCTTTTCAGGATCAAACGGTGTACATGTACTATTTGCGATGTTCTGTTGACCAATCGGTATCGACCGGGAAGATCTGTTTCATCACCTAAGGCTACCTTGCAACTCTGGACGAAAAAGAACCTCCGACCCAAAAGAGCAAGTCCATATGGCTGTGGGTCAAAATCAGGATACCTTGGGTTGACCTACCTGGGAGGGTGTTTGCTCCATGTTTCCAGGTTTTGACCAAATACACTCCCTGGAACTAACATGGAAGTGGATAACCCCCTGTTTGTAGAGGAAAATGGTCTTCCAAGGGGCCATTTGGAGACCCCATGGAGACCACTGGTCTTTTGGCATTGGAGACCCATCTTTTGGCATTTCAGAACATCTTTCAGGGCCAATTGGAGACGCCATGGAGACCCCAAGGTCACCCACAATCACCACTCGCCATTCTCAGCTCCCAACTGGCCCTGAGCCTCCCTGGCGCGCGACCGGTGTCGAACAGGCCCCGGAAAAAGATCCGCATCGACGAACTTCGGCTTGCCAAGGGTTTTCATGATGATCCTAGTGCTCTCAAAATCGTCGATTGAAGGTCTCGTGTATAATTGAAATCTCTTCTTGCCTAACCCCCCCTTGAACCATGTTGATAGGTCTTTATAGATGTGACTTCCTTTCAGGGTGTCTGGTTTTACGCGGGAACTCTCAAAGCAATAGAAAAGCAATGGATACCAAACCTCATTGGTTAAGTCTCTGTTAGACAAATTCATCATTTCAAAACGTCACCAAACAGGATGGCTCCAGCATCTGAACAGCATGGTAGACACCACAGTCATATCATAAGGACGCAACCTGAGTACACGACAGTCAACCACTTGCACCTCAAGTGTTCAAACTTGCTGGCGAACGTCAACACATATTATGAGACAACAAATAAACAATGGATCTCTTTCAGGCTTGATGGAACACCGCGCAACACATCACCCAACCTAATGGAACGCCTGATACCACATCAATGATACTTCACCGTTTTATCCTAAAGTGGTGCTGAGTTTCTTGGTCGCCTGTCGCCTGACACCCTGGCTGGCAGTCTGCAGCCATGGTGTCAAGGGATGGTACTAAACCGCTGAAACAGTTCTAGCTGTACACTTAGCTGTACTTGAACTGCACTACCTGAGATAGAGGACTTCGAACTCACTCTCCTCTTGGAAAGATTGCGAGTAGTATCAAATCATCAGAAAGAAGGAAACATAAGAAACCCATGTCATGCAGGTGTAAATCTTCCCCTAGCGCCACAGCGGGGAATAACCCACCGACTCGGCTCGCGAAGCGCACAGACCAGCCGTTTTTGTGGTCAGCTCAAGTCAAGGGCTTTGTAAGCTCCTCCTTCACCCAGTCCAACACCGTCTTCACGTCCCTCCTCCGCAGGGAAGGGTTAAACTCCAAAGGCGAAGGGTCGTCGACATCTCCGTTCTGTCAGGTCTAGTGACGGAAGTCCTGAACTGAGAGGGTGTGGTCAGAGTGTGATCAGAACTCTGAGAGCAAAGTCCAAACCCTCCCAGTCGTTCGTCGCTTTTTGAAAAGAGTCGTCGATGAAGGGTCCTAGGTGTCCTAGGTGTGACTCCAACCGTCGGTTCGTTCGTCTGTTTCAGTTGATTCTTCCTGCTGTTCGTTTTTTTGAACTCGGGGAACTCTGTCTATAATTGATGTCTACCAGCCGCTTTTGAACAGGATTCTCACAGCCAGGTCACTTCGATTGACTAACCCAAGAGGAAGACACCTCAAGTCCCAAACGTGAGCCTCATGAGACACCTCTTCTCATCGCCCCCAATGACACTGACTCAACATGCTGGTCACTGCTGCACCGTAAGAAGAATGTTGCTCCACCGTGCAAAAAGAACAGAGAAAGAACTGCTTGAACAAGGCCTCTTCCAGGGCCTGGAGCACATCTTCCCTCAAATGTTCGGGGAAAACATGGGGAAAAGAATCAGCCACAACCGGGGGAGGGGCATCCAAACATACCTTTCTCAGGAAGTATTTGGACATTCAGTCTACATTTATTTAGAGACGTTTCCAATCATGGTTAGTCATAGCTGGGACCACAGCTTGAAGGGCCTGAAATTTCCTCCATTCAGCTAAAGCACCCGGTCCATCTCACAAAACTCCCTCGCCAAAGGTTGTTGTATTTGTTGTATACTTACAGTGTAACTTACAGGTCTTGATTTCACTGACCTCTTGATCAACATGCCTCACACTTCACAAAAAAATGATCCCAAGCTTCTCATGGTGTGAGTATAAGCCGTCCTATGTCTCCGATTTATGTCTGCCACACCTCTCCACCAAAACAGACCGGCTCTCCACATCGAAAGCTTCCTCCAGCGGGGATAGGTCACAAGCTTCAGCTTCTTCTGCATGGGGCGGACCAAGATCAACGTTGGAAAGGCATGGATTTCCTCGACATGTGGCGGCCGCCGGAAGAGAAGAAAAACGAGGACACCGGTGCCACTGGTGCGCATACAACGGACCAAAAGTGGTGAGAAGAGAAACAACTCCAAACCTGCATGATGGTGAGATGTACAGTTCCATCCTGATTGAACAAACATGTGGATAATTCATGATGCAGTATGGTCGGCACTTAAGATTAGTAACAAGCGAACCGGCTATATAGTACTGATGCATGTGGATTCTATCGGAATGCCCCATTCATTCGAACGCTTTAAATATTCATTTCAAACCTGTCTCGCGGTTACACCTCCATCAGTAGGAAGCCTCCAAAACGATGCGGAGGCTTAGACCAACCACTGGTTGAGGGATCTTCAGTTTTCAGGTAAACCTGTGTACAAATCAAATTACTGTAGGCCCTTCAGCATGTTGTGAACAACAACTAGTCTTGCAAAGACATTCACTGAGATTTCACATTTTTCAGTCAGATTCCCTGCGACCCATTCCTTGCTGTGGCAACTGATTTTGGCATTCAGAAAAGAAACGTCAGTCACAAGATCAGCTTGCAATATTTGTGCTATCGCGGGAACTGGAACATAGACGCAAGTCGCCCTCGAAGAAGGTTGTGCGTCGACAGGGTCCCGCTCACTTTCACTGGCAAAAGTTGCATTCTCCAGCCCGACCTCTTGGTTCCAAGGCACAAAGCCTGCATCTTTGGCGCTTTGTGGAACCTCGCAACTCGCACGACTTGCGCTTGCCGCTTATTCGCTCGAGCCGGTGAAGGTCATCCGATTCTCATGTACCGTGTGCCCTTGAGAGATAGACACTGTTCGGTACCTTCTCCAGGAAAACATGCATTTCGATGGTGAGTGGCGGAAAGTGTCCAATGACTGGGATCCTTACCTCTCGAATGCATGCCTAAATGGCGGTGCAGAATCAACATGCAGTAGATCAGTGAGGAAGGACAAAAACAACATGATTTGATGCGAACCCACCTCGGCTTCACAGAATTTTGGTCTCGTGAATGATGAACATTACACTCCCTTAAATAATAATGGCACATGATGATCATGATGGCACCCTTTGTTTGGTATTCGGATTTCATGGTCATCCGAACTTGGGCCATGCCATCCACTTCCATGATGATTTTCAGGGAGTGTGGAACAATCATTCAAATATGTTTCCCGGAACATGACTGCCAATCGGGGAGAGGACACACGCAGGCCCGCCCTTCGCAGTGCGGATGCGGCAGTGTGTTGAACTCAAACAAAAAATACCTAAAAATACACCACTCACATCCATGCACTAAGATCAGCTCTTCACTGTCGGGTGTTCGGCTCGTTTGGCCGGAATTTTGGGCCGGCATCGCCTGGTTGTGATAGAGATCCATCCTCGCTGGAAGGGCATCTCCACTGATGCTCAGCCTAATGCGTCGGACGACGAGGGGCCGCGATCACACGGTCCCCATGTTCCAAGCGGCTGTTGGTAGCTACCGTTGTGCGGAGCAAAAACTGAAACCACAACTGGTGCCGGCTCGGATCGGTTTTACCGTCAGCTTCAGTCGGTTGCTGAATCAAATTCAGCACCGCGTTGCAATTCATAGCCTTGGTCATCGCATCTGCCACCATGTCCTGGGTACAGATCCACCATAATAGGTACAGATCCACCATAGTTGATCACCAGCATGTTGTGGCATTCCTGGTGGCTTACCTGCTACAGGTTTGGCCAGTCCTGAATCCTTTGTCACAGTGTCCGTCTGCCCGCAGTTCTCGCATGTCCATGTCCAGACGTACCCATTGCTGCCTTTCCATGTGACCTTGTCATGATCACACTCCCCAGAAGGTATGGTCGTTGTCTTGCCTCCAGTCTGGGGTGTCCGATCTCTTTCTTCAAGGCAACTCCACAGTCGTCGATGTAGGCATTCGTCCCCCGGCGGCTGGTCCGCTCGCTGATGGGGACAGTCCCCTTCGACTGCTCTTGAGTGCATGACTGGTGCTGTCATCTTGTTGGTCTCGCCTGCCGATCCTTGGCTCCTCACCGGCAGTGGTGGCACCGGTGAAGTTGGAAACGTCATCTTCGGCAGCGGTCCTCTAGGTGGCGTCTCATAGGCACCTGAAGCACTCGCTGTCGATCAAGTCTCCAATGCCTTAGTTGGAGGCGGTCGCAATGCCTTTGATGTCGGAGGCATGAAGTCCAGTTCCGTCCTCAGCATCCGATAGATATCCCGCGGCGGACGTTACACTGCTGTTGATGATCAAGATGTTCGGGCTCTCCTCCTGATTGGCTCCTCCACGTAGTGCCACGTAACCCACGGTGTCGTCATACGTGTTCTCCAGCCCCACAGTGCAGTAGACCACCCGTGGCTTGTCACCTTTCTTGTTGCCACTCTTCGAAGATCCCCTGCCCGAGTATCCAAAGGATGAACCCTTACCTTTTCCTTTGGCCTTCTTTGCCGGGCAAATCGGATCCCTTGCCCATGCAGTGACCAATCTGTCCGCATGCTCGGCATTTGGATCGTTGCTCCGCGGCCAACACCTTGCGGATTGACGATCTTGTGGTGACATCGATGACCGCCAGGTTCGGTTCAGCATACTGCCTTAGTAGGATGCCACCGTCCTTTGTACCCGCTTGGTACAGCTCCATTGCAGCCTGATGTCGAAGAGGTAGGAGTTGGCCCTCCAGTTCCTTCAACAAGCCTTGGCGCCACCTTGCTCTGCCAGGCGGTCCACACCAACAGCGCCGGTCCCGCCAGCCTGTCCACCAAACGCAGTCCAAGCGGCCCCAACTTCTTCTTCTCGGTATCCGAGAGCGTCTGCTCCTTCTTCTGCGCTTCCACCGAGAACTTTGTAGTCAGGCCAGGATCAATCCTGGAAAACGCCCTACCTCAGTGTCTCCAGTGCGATGGCGCTATCGCTCTGTAAACGGGGCCTCAGGTCTGGCGCCAGCACTGCGTGAAAAGCGTTAGAGCTCGAAAGCTCCGCTGCCAGTCTCAACAACTGGGAGGTAGAAAGAAGCCCTATCGCCAGTAAAGGTTTGAGCAACGGTCGGTGCGTTGCATGTGGTTTCATGTCTCATTTGACGAGTGCTGAACATTCTCACAATAGCTGGGTCACTGTGTCACCAGGTATGGCTCACGCATTGGGAGAATGGATTCCTCTGAGAATGGAACAATAATTGAAGGTTTCTCAAGCCAGAAACTGGAAACAAGTGCAGTTGCAAAGGAATCATCGGCAGGTTTACCCTTTGGCAGTTTCTCCGTCGGACTACGTAGTTCAAACATCCACCACTATCCACCACTAATTACTGGACAGGCCTGATTTATGCAGGGGTGGATCGCAGGATGAAATCAGGATGACATGTTTCACACATGTCGAACTTACGTTTGCGGCACGCAGCATGCGCGGCATGCGAGTCATGCTTCTTTTTAGGGCGATGTCGGGTGGTGTAGTTGAAGTGGTGCCAAGTGATTGAGCAACGAGCATACAGCCCCTTCACGACGTACCCGTCTAATTACAATCTTAAAGTCTATTGGGAAAAACTCGGAAAAGTCAAGCAAAAACGCAGTTGAACCAATAGACTCAAACGACGTGGCTGGTCACTGCAACCACGCCTTTTTTTTGTGATTCCATTCAAAGCCGGGATGATCTTTTATGGAATCGGAATCACAAAAACACACACAATGGCGACAAAGCCTCAAACTCCAAAAAAGCACTGCCAGGCGTCTCATGCGCAATCGTCGCATAGGTAGGAGCAAAGTGCGTGCAGTGACCACACATCGGCGAATAGAACTCAAGGAGCATATCCTGCCTGCGTCGATTCATGCTGCTGATTCAATCACTTTTGGCCCCCGAAACACCGTGCATGGCACCAGGAGTTCGGAGTACGGGCACCAGGTTACGTCGGTTGTTCGCCAAAAAGGGCGCCCAGGTCAACTGTTTGGCGCACCCAGGTTGAACGAGCCTTCCCATCCCCATCCCATCCGTCCGAAATCATGGTTCGGTCTTTCACGCCAAGCGCGGGCTGTCACCGATGACTCACCGATAAAGCTAAGACCGATCAGATCGAAGAGATCGCTGACCACCAAGGGTTTCGCAAATGGTTCGGTCCGCCGGTCGCATGATCAATCCAAACGAGCAAATGATGCGTATATGGTATTGCTGATACCAGAAAACTTGATGGTCGCAATCCTTTCGTGCATGAGGATTGCACCGACTTTTCCATTGATTTCCCGTCCGTTCCGGTGGAAATGGAAGGCTTGAGCAAACGACGTCGATGTCCACAGGGTTTCAAATGAGAGTCTACCTACCAAAGCCCCCTCTCAAGGGGTGTTTGTTAAAAGCCGCCATGCCATTGGGGGGGTGTCTGGTACAGGTCCATGTGGATCGGTCATTGGAAGTATGGTTCCCTATGGATCCACTTCCACCCTTTAAGCAGGTGATTGGAAACACTTTTATGTAGATCACTTTGAGTGCCCAAATACTTCCTGACAAGGTATTTGAATCCCTACAGGTTGTATAATCCCATCAACCAACAGTGCCATGTCAGAATGGTTTGGTGGATGTGACATGACAGCCATACACCCGAATTCACGTGGACAGCACGTGTCGTTCCATCAAACTGCAGGTCGTGTCGTTCAACCATTCGCTTCTCCACAAGCCATGGAGCGATCTAAAGCGCAAAACCCTTCCACAAGATCTGCCCGGGAGCAAAGCCCGCTTCAGCCCAGCTTTCAACTCCGAGGTGCTTGGTTTTGAGGACCACCTCCTCGAAGTTCTGCTTGTTCACCTGCGAGGGAAAGAGGTGAATTAAGGTGGCCGTTCGGACGATTTGGAGGAAATGAATGGCACTTAAAGTAGCTGCAGCTCGATTGACTAAGTCCTGACCAAGCTTCCAAGGGAGTCAAACAGAGATGAACAAGAATGCAAACTGATATGTATTGACATATCCATCCCAAAACCAACTCCCAGAAGCCACCTCCACACATGTGTCACAGGGCAGGTGCGGCGCATCATCCAACTCAGCACGCTTTGAGGCGCTCTCAGCGCGCTTCTTTGCTATGCGCGCCAGGTGTGTGTGCATGCCACACTCGGTCTCCTGGACACTAAAAGGTGTCCCAGGCGATCCGGCGAACTCGGATGGAGTGTCAATGGACCATTTCCACGACGAAGTTGTTCGCGTGCTTTTTCTTTTTGAGCAGGCAAGTCTAGAGCTATGACTCTGAGGTATTTGTGGTAGCCCTGAGAACTACAGAATGCAACTTCACCGAGTTTGGAAGTGTTTATAGACTTATATTCATAGTATTTCATAGTGTCATAGAGTATTCCGGGAGTGCAATCACTTCAACAGCCACCCGTCTCCTGGCTCAGCTCGAAGCGGCCTTGAAACAAAAAGAGGACGCGAGCAGATGCGAGCACCGGTCACGCAGAACAGACAATCCCCCGTGAGGTTCGACATTCCGAGACCTGCAGGAATGGGTCCATACCTCAACCAAACAATGGTTGAGGTTGACATCCCTGAACCAAGGTAGAGGAATCTGTTCCTTTTTCACTGAACCAAGGTCGTTTTTCGCATCCCAGAGCGTCACATGGTGATGGGTCCGTTATTGATGGTCCTGGACCCATGGGGTAAGTGCCGGATTGTAGAATCACCAAGCACACTGGACGTCGAAAAAGAATTCGCTTGACAAGAACCCGATGAATTTCTCGAATTCGATCTGATCCGACTACAGTGAGTCTTCAGTCCATTGAAGAGGACTCTGTCCAGACTTCGCTCGCTTATTCCTTTCGTTTTTTGTCTAAACGATCTGCAGAAAACAGAGACCTCGACAGTCGACTCAGCTCGAGAAAATCCCACCAGATCGATCGGCGCGCGGTTCCACCACTCGTAGGGTTTTTTGGGGACGGAAGACACATCTACCTTCGGCACTGAACCGAGTTGCAAATCCAGTGCGGTATTTTTGGTGTTCACAGGAAAACCCAAACACCCCCTACACATCCCACACCACCCCAATCCCAATTCTACCCGAAAAGCTCCAATACCTGGATATTCCTGGAGCCTTTCACTCATTATGGTGCCTTTATGGTGTCTTTGCGTCTTTTTCACTTGAAACACAATACACAAAGACTGGCCGGATGGACTGTGCCGTTTTTTGTGCGAAGATCGTATCCAAACCCGCCTGCGCGCTCGCCTTCCCCTGGCTTGGTGGGCCGGGTATTCATCACATCCTTGCAGGAGCGCGACTGGAGACACAAACGCACGCCATGGGGCCCGGCCGTGCGGGCTGTTCGGGCCGTCTTGACGAACCTGAAGTCATCCGGTGGTTTCGATCAGCCCCTGGTCATCTGTGTGCGACAAATCCTCGGGGAATATGTCCTTAAATGGAGTTCTTTGGACATGCAACAATGCTACTAACAGGGGTTTCTTCTTGTTTTATATATGCCAATTCTAAAGACCCGCAGATTTAAATTCAGCCGTGCGAGAAAACGTCTCAACCCCTTCAGTTTATGGACAAAGTAAAACGTCAGTGGCACTGTGTCACTCCCACATTCATGAGGATTTGCAGATCAGAACACAATGCTCCCATGCTTCCCGGTTTGTACACACCTGTCAGAAAACATACCCTTCTCGTCACAGTTCACTCACCCTTTCATTACCACTCACAACCCTACGATAGCCCCTGAAACCACAACCCGAAACCATTTCTGCACCAAATCTGCACCGTGTCGACCCGATGCTCCTACGACACCGCTATCGAGTGGCTCCCACACTGCTGTAGCCGCGGTCGTGAAGGACGTTGTAGGGCACCTTCCAGTGATGCCGGGAGTGTTTTCTCTGTGGGCAAAGAGGAGCACTTCGAAGGATATGACGCACTCAGACCATTCATGTATGGCATATTCAGCTATACATTGAACCCTGAAACCACCCCAATGTAGGTGGGCAAGATCACATAAGGGTTGCACACCAAGGGTGGGTCTACAGAACCATATTTACATATATTTTATATATACTGAAAGTGGCTGTGGAGTCGAGCATAGATAGCACTTTCGGCACATGTTGATTGCGCCGGCCCAGGCCATTAGTATGAAACCAGTGTAGGTCTCTTCTTCCGTCTGCAATTGCACATCCTTCAATTATGGAAGTCATGAAATCATGAAGTGTACCATAATTTGGAACACTTTAATGTACCAGGGATATCACGAAAACACGGGTGTTTGCCATGGGTGATGGCTGAATTCGCACACGACACATGGCACCAATGACATCCAATGACCACATTATTTGCAACATCCTACATCCAAGCTCCTCATGTCTTGTGTAACGTCTGTCATACAAGTTGATGAGTGAAGAATGAGTGAACAATGAGTCAACAACTCTGCATGCTTCAACATCACTCTCTGAAGTATTGTATAGACTTTTATAGTTAATAACCATGCACCCCATAAGATTTCACGAATTGACAGATTTGGCCTTTTTGATGGAGAAGGGCTGTTCAAAGAATATCTCTTCTTGGGAGTTTCCACTTCGCATGGATGCTTGACTCGTTTTTCGCGTTGTTTGTTGCTTCAGGTCTCACATTTTCCTAATTCCTCTTGCACTGGTATGACCATATATGAGCGTCCTTCTGCAGACATGTGCGCTCGTTTCGAACAATGGGGACATCGCTTTTTGGACGGGCCTTAAGGGTGGTGATGAAGAGTTTTTTCCTTGTAAGTTTTGCGCTTCTAACTTCTATCTTTTCATTTGTTTCTCAGCCACTCAATAGTGGAAGCTGGTGGCTTGTCTCACGCGTCTGTGTGCGGAAGGTGCATGGAAGAGGTTTGTCAATTCAATTGGAGGTTCTATATTTTTAAGAGTCTCTACAATTAAGAGTCGAGTTCGAGTCAGTGAATCGCACCGCCGACATGCAGGTTTCTCTGCTCGCTCGCTCGCTCGGCCCCCAACGACCTGCCGCCGCGTTCAAAGCACCAAACCACCGTGTTCACCGGCGAGCTGGTTCACCGAAAGGTCTGATTCCGAGCTGTTTTTGTTCGGTTTCGCCGTCGCGCATTGCCTCGTGGGTGTGGAGGTATTGCCAAACATCCTCCCAAGTCCAGTAGGCCAAAGGATTGATCTTCAATCTCCTAAGCCCGGTCTCGACCCGTCGAAGACCCAGACCCAGCATATGCATATCAAGGAGGTGAAGCGCATGTAGCGCATGTTGGTTTGTGAGGTCACACCATTCGATTGGTGGGCAGGGTGAATTTTGCCCCAAACAGGGCCCTTCTATAGTTGCATTGAGCCTTCATTTGTGGCTTCGGGTTCAAAGGATTGATCGTAGCGGAAGGGATACGATCGGCTTTCCTCTTGAAACATGAGATGCTCACCACAGGAAAACCAATGGAAACCTATATATATATATTATTGTTTTTGTATATGTCTGTATATCGTGTCAGACAACTATAAAACCAAAAGGGAACGAAACCATGGCTATACCAAACCATCTTGCGCAAGAACTACCCATGGGTGTCGTCGCCTCTATCCGCCCGAGCTTCCCTGCATCGTTCTCCACCACCGGCAGGTGGCTTCGGAGCTCACCCTGCGACCGGCGACGGCCGGTGATCCAACCGCCAGGCGCCAGTTGTTGCAGCGCACGGAGGGTGGGCTCCACTTTGGTGAGGTAACTGTACCTCACAGAGTCACTGAAAAAACATAGAAACAACAAAGCACGTCGTGAAAAAATCGGCTGTTCAACCAAATTAGTGGTTGGAACAAGCAAAGGCTGCAGGCTTGGGAAACTCTGTGTTTTTTTGGTGTTCCTGTTTAAAGGGGGAAGATGGATTACCCCCAGCTCCTGAGCACCAGAATCAACTGGAGCGATAGAGAAATTTGTCAGGATGCAAGACACGTTTTGGGACTCCAGCCTCTCCAGCCTTCCCTGGTGGCCCCTTCCGCAACCCTGGAAGGTGATGAACTCTTCAGTTCTTCCGTTCTTCCTTCGAAACTGACCGCAAAACAAGGCGTAACTTGGGACAGCCATCAGCCATCTAAGCACTTGGAATAGCATGTGGAGCCGAGCGGCTCAGCTGGCATTTCACTGAACTTGAGGCTCAACTTACCGGACGTCCTTTTGGCACCGACGCTCCCTGAAAAAGCGGATGGTTCGATGGAGGGCATGGCCCCCAAGAAAAATGACCATGAAATTCCGAATACCAAACAGGCGATAATTGTCAACTTCTAACTTGTTAGTTTTCCTCCAAATGTAATTAGTTTCTTCCAAACACGCAGTTGAGGATCGAAGGGTCCATACAAACAGGCCCAGAAATTCATAGACTGGGCCAGGAGGGAGGTCTTGTTGAGTGGCTTGGGCAACACGCACATCACTCAAAGGTCACATCACCCAAAAGCATCCAAAAGGGACCCAAGGAGTCCCAACGGAGGGGGGTTCAAGTAACTTTACAGTCACATCAGAACGTTTCACCCACACTGGTCAAACCTTCCAAAGAGATCCCTTCTGTCCAAAGAGCTTCTGGAAGTCGTCCTTCCAAAGAGTCATTCCATGCATCTCCTCGCTGAGGCCGGCGAATAAGAAACCCTGATGAATCAATAAAGGCCACTTACACCTGGAAGTTTGAAGGTTTATTCCCATGGCAGTGAGCTCGAGTCAAAAAAAACAACAATACCACGGGAGTACCCAACAAATCCGAAGCCATGGTGACCCAAGATTATGATCCCAAACAAACACCTCATTAAGCCTATCCCCATGCACCACTCTATGATCTGTTCATCTTTGCAATCTGGTATAAGAAAAGGGGAAATGAAAGGAATATGCAGAGAGTAGGAGAGGGAGGGGGAGGGGGAGAAGGATGGAGAGAGCAGGGAAAAAAGGAGGAGGAAGAGGAGACGTTCAGGGAAGTAGAAATCACATTTGGATGGGTTTGGGCGCAATTGGCGGTTGCTGGTTATGGGGGCTAACCAACCAATTACATCCACAGATCACACTTCATCACACCATCACACATGCCAGACCACCCCCGCCATGAAGGTCTTCGCACGATGGTGTCTCCGAGCAGCATCGAAACGATGACCTTCGCCCTCCATGAAGTCCTTGGGATAGAAGGTCTGGAGCTTCCTCAGTGCGCTTCTACCGGGATTCTCTGGTGTCTTCGGAGAAAAAAGTAAACTGTGCGCAGTTCCTTCCATCGCCGCTATGGTCTCATTCCAGAAAATACAGCAGCTGCGCGCCTCTACATGTTGCGACTTCTCACAACCTTTAATATACTACATTGTTGTAGGGAACATCATCCCACCACTGTCCCCAACACATCCTGCACCACCTTCCCCAGAAAGCAGTGTAACCTCAGTGAGATAAATTGAATTAGTTTCGGCAGTGCATCTACCTCCCTTGGTTCGAACAGCTCGGAACGACCAAGTTTGCCAACTGTTAAGCAAGCAACGAAGTAAGCAACGATAGCGATCTGTCGGCAGCCGATTGAGCCCAAACACATCTTGGGATATCTTCTGGTGACGTTCTGCAGATGCTCATAGCTCTCTGGGAAAAGGTGTAAGGTGTCGATCGTGACGATCCGTGTCTCCTCCAAGAGGCCTCGGGTCACGAGGCGAGTTGTTTCATCGGGCAGGCGGGTCGTTTCGGGCCAGGGGGGTCATCTCCCAGATTGCTCTGGATTGTGTACCCACACAAGGAAGAGAGTATCACGAAGGTTCACCTAAACGAAACCGCCAAGTTCTTTGGAAGAAACACATATATCCACACAAAATGAGGAGAACACTTCGGATCTAGATGCACCGGACTCCGCACCTGACGAACACCTTTCGAAGCGAGTGTTACAAATTTCTGGTTCACCGGTTCACCCTGCCAAGTTTGTTTTCACTCTTTCCTCTGCAAGCATGTATATATTATATATATATATATGTAAAATATATACACACACTTAACGTGTTGAACGCTGTCAAGTAAGTGCCTTCTTCGTCCATATAAAGCAGCCTGAACTGGACATATATCCGGACATTCACACCTCCAACCAAAAGGGCCTTCCGAATCGACCTTCGTTTTGGGCGCCGTCCGTGGCGTCCGTGGCGTCCGTGACGTGGTTCACAGTGCGCCCACACCGACTCCGCTTGCCTAGGCGATCGAGGAGATCCAAGATCACCATGCCCGAAGGTCCGAAGCTGCTAAATTGGACCAGGCCCGGAACCGTCTCCGCCTCGGAAAGGAGTTCGGAGACGAGTGTCGTTGAATGATGTTGAATTTTATTGACATTTATATGATATTTGGGTGGTTGCTTTCTTTGTTTGGGGCACGATGCTGTTTTGAAGCAACAGCCAAGATGCGTTGCTCTTTTTCCACTTAGAAGCACTGCAACCACATCCTTCCACGAGTTCAACGAAGAGGCTCCCAAACGCATTCCCAAGCCAGGCCTTTCAACTCGTTGGAAGTTTGCTCCACTTGCAAGTACTGTAAAATATACGGCGACTGCAACTTACAACAATGATCACAGGTCAGGTAAGGTTAGCGGTTGAACTCTGAACCACCTTGGCCTGTCTGCCAAAGCGAAACCTGGGCCCTCTGGCCTGCTCGGGCCTCTCACCCTTCTCATCCTGACACCAAAAGCATTCAACCAAGGCAAGGTGCCTTTTCTACTGCCTTTTCTCACATCCCAACCCCCAACCATCCCCCCACTCCACCACTACATACCACTACCTACCACTCGGCCGCTGTCTACCTGATTTCGTCGAATTGGGTTGAGTGGCCGCCCACTGAAGGATTTGCTCGGCGGTTTTTCCCTTGAGCTCCGCTTGCAGCTTGCTCGTGCGGTCCTGTCATGGCTAAGCCGGAGGGTTTCTTGAGAGGGCAAGTCTTTTCGGCTTCAACTATCAAGTGCTTATTCCGCTTTAGCTCGCGGGATATGATGATCTCATCTCAAACACATCAACAACCCACAAATCATTCCATTTCATTCGGTTTAGTTGGATGATTGTTTCGCCCGCCTTGGGAACCGAACGTTCACCCACAAGTCCCGCCGCCTGTTTTGGACAGTCGCGTGTGGATGAAGCATGTCCCCGAAAATTAACAGCCATCAAAGAGAGACTCCATGTATGACCTATATATATATATATCCCTATTGGATTCACAAAAGGCTTCTGATTTTCTGAATCGCCAGCCCCATCTCTTCCTCTCTCTTCCGGTCGCGTTTTGGTCGGTCCATGCCTCTCTCAGCTCGGCTCCGAACCAGCGGGAGCTGGGCTGGACGGCGAGAAGCGTGCAAAGGCAAAGGAAAATGAGGAAGATCTTCTTCCTGAGCCAGAACTTCGACTCATGAACTACTCCACCTGGTAGGAGTCTATCCATCCACCACTGGCAGTTCAGGGTAGTTCATGAGTCACGACAGGCTCTCTCTCAGTAAGCTACCGCGGAAGGGAACTCGCTCCCTTGCTGACTCGCTCCCTTGTCGCATGGAGATCTTGCCAGTCAGCTGCAAACTTCGGTCCACGAACATCCGAACCCAAATGTGCCAGGCCTAAGGGTCCGAAGACCATTCTCTTCAAGTACTTTCACCTTCAAGACTGGCACCGTTAAAGTACCTGGACCCTCCTGGCCCTATGGGTCCTCACCATTCGGTCACATCTGTCATGTAGCTCATTTATGGTGGCTTTGAACGTCTGGCCTCACGTTGCAAACAAACATGACGATGAACCCTACAATTCCATGGTAGAACATCCCCCAGAACCTACCTGGTAGACCTTAATTAGACCTTAAAACCATTGGTACTTCAAATTGTCCCAAAAAGAACATGGAGTCCATCACCAGTGCACCAAAACTGACCACGAAAATCAAGAACAAATTCAGAACAGCTGACCACAAAACAGTCTCATTCTACTATTTCTCACTGACTTGAAGCTGAACAAGTTTCTCAGCAAATCTATTTAGTGCTAGCCTTCCAGCTTCCCTTCTTCCACATCCAGCCGTGAAGTCACTCCAAGCATCCGGTGGTTCCGAACGAAGCTGCCCACACTGCCTGGAAACGGTTCCGCCCGGTCGCGGTGCCTTCAACGAATCCCCGAGAACAACCGAGTAAAACCGGTGTAGTAAATGGAGCCACGGAGAATGGCGAGTTAGATGTGAAAACAAACAACTTGTGACGTCTGTGATTTGTTGTGAAACGAAGACAAGATGTTGTCACCGGATAGACTGTTGGTGTGTTCAAACCCTCCAATTTCAAACATATATTTTGTATTTTTGAAGTATCCCCCCTGGCAGCATCGAGATGCCATGGATAATGGGAATGACACGCGGTGGCCATTCTTAGCGGCCGTGGCGCGGAGCTGGGCGTGCTATCCTTCCTAGGCATGTGTTGGGAGTTCACCGAAGATTGCGAGGAATTCAACGAAATCTCACCTATAAGGACCAACGATCCAAAATGGGTCCACCGTGACGTTTGGTTGGACAGACCGACCAACGCGAGAGCTTCATGAAAACCTGCAGAGTTTGCTACCTCAAAATAGATGGGATTCGCATGAAGCACATTGAAGAGATATGTCTCGGTGTTGGTACACTCTGATCCATTTGCGGACCTGGGTCAAAAGGGATGGGAACAATTGATCGCCCAAACGGAACTACGAGTAGACTGTTTTGCTTCAAATTCACCTATACTAGATAATCCCATGTATTTGTATTATATCATATGAACCCCTTGTTGACATGCTCTCCAACAACTTCGCCTATACCCTACGCCACTTATGGGACTTCCGTCGGGCTTCCATCAGGTTCCAAAGTCCAGGTCTCGCGGTCAACTCCCGGGCCTAGTTCCAACTGCTTCAGCTCAGGACCAGGGACCTTTTCAGTATCCTCGGCAAGTTGAGCATGGACAAATGGGCAAATCTTCATCTCGTTTCTTGGGGGGTTCAAGCCCCTGTCTGAAAGGATTGAAAGGGAGGTGTTTTACCGTCTTCTATGGTGTCTTTCATCTAAGTGTTGGGTGAAGTTTTTTGAATGGGTTGGGACACCAAATGGGTTCCGGTTGTGTGAATCCAAACCAAGACACCCAAGCCCCAACCCTGAATTCCATGAAGACCTTGCATAAGCGAGCAGAAGATGTCCGGGGCGCTAAACAAAAGCATTAAACCTGGCTGAGGAAGACGCCTCGACCATCGACCTTGTCCCAAGTGTGCTTTCCTTGCCATGTGGCAATGAGTTCGCTCTCCTGCCCCAAAAATCAAGCTTTGCACCAGCGAGCTTTGCAGCGAAGCCCCCGAAATCCGTTGCACCAGTCACATGGAGTCACATGCGACCCTTTCGAGGCGTCAAACAGCGCATTCTTGGACTCCACGGGCGAGGTTCGGTGTCACGCCAGCAACAGCATGACTTGCAATATCTCACTCGCACAAGAGTCAAGAAACGTGGCTAAAAAAAGATCTGTATGGTTATTCATATACATATATTGTGAAGCTCACAAGCTTACCAATCAGATGTCTCGCATGACGACCTTTTGATCGAACCTACCGAAAGGGTGGGTGGGTGGACCGAACATCGTCGACAAAGAGCGAGGCCGCTTGGACAAGAGGACCGGGTTTCCCCAAGGTTAGGATCATTCAACTCCAGGGTGAGATTAACATTGGTAGCGGAGCCTCCGCAAGGAGGCGTAGGCATTTTGGAGGGGTTCTCCAGTGAGTAATTAACCTAGGATAGGTTGCATTTGATCCCAGAATTTTGTTGCACGACATTTTACCTTTCCTTCGACCACTGAGCCATGGCCGGAACGGAAGGAAGTTCGGGAGAAGAAAAGGCCGGACACATCTGGAGTCTTCTTCCGGGTTTTGACCCGTCAGTTGACGACCCGAGGGAGTATGCCGACAAGATTCGTTTCTTGCACTCCATCTGCCCCGTCAAGGACCGTTCTATGCTAGCTCCCAGACTGGCACTTCTGATGAAGGGCACCGCCTGGGCTCAGGTCAAAGCCCTAGATGGTGAAAAGCTCTCGGACCCAAATGGAGGCATCAAGCTCTTGCTGAGTGCGGTGGCCGATTGGGAGGACTCTGCTGAACTCCAGACCTATGAAAAATTCGAGAGGGCTCTGTACAAGGTGACCCAGAAGACAGATGAGTCAGTGTTTTCATACGTGAACCGTATGAATGTTGCCTTTGCTGAGATCAAGAATGTGACCATTCAAGAGATCAAAGCATTCATCATGCTGCGTCAAAGTGGTTTGAATGGAGAAGACAAGAAGCGGGTACTTGCCATGTGTGCCGGGGAGCTCAAGGCCAAGAAAGTGGAAGACTCCATGAGACAACTTGCTCCTCGCATCCTGGTGGGTGCATCCGGTTCCGAGCCAAAGAAGAAGGTCTATCCAGTCAATTTCGTTGATGATGAAGAAGAGATGACCATTCCGACCTACTTCACGGAGGATGACAACCAGATTGACGACGAGATGGGTCTTCAGGTGTTGATGGAACAAGGCGATGAGGATGCCTTGATGATCACGGAGTTTGAAGACCAGTTGATCGAAGCTTGTCAGGACAACGTCGATTTGAGCATGTGCTTCTCAGCATACACAGAAGCCAGAGGCCGAGTTCGAGATAAGATCCGTGCCCGTGGTTTCTGGCCGCCGTCGAAGGGGAAAGGAAAGAACAAAGGATCCAAGAAGGGTCCGTGGAATGCAAAAGGTGGTTTCCGCAGACGCCAGTCACTGGCGGACCGCATAGCTAATTCCCATTGTCGTCTTTGCGGAGCTCGTGGGCATTGGCGACAGGAATGCCCAAACAAGGGCACGACTTCGAATGCCGCAGCGCCTTCAGCGGAGATCCACATGTCCACTTTGGTTGGGGAGAATGTGTCAGAGGTCGACTCGGAGGTCTTGGAAAGACTCCCGATCTCACTAGAACAGATGCTCCCTGAGTGGTGGCCCGTCGTCCAGGAGAAGGCGACGATTCAGAACGATGTGAATGAGACGATGTTGTTGACCGACCCTGGCATGAGCTCGACCGGGAATTTTGAAGACAGCCAGGCCGGTGCTGGAAACAAACCCACAAAATTTTGTCGGTATTCTGAAACAAGAATCCGTGTTAATGAAGAATTCGTTTTTGCTGCTCTGTCCCTCCAAGAGTTGAAACAACAGCTGAGACGAGGCTTAGGGGGCCTTACACTGGGGAAACGTGTCAGGCATGAAGACCCACATGAGCCGATGTTTTTTGTAGACCACGGTAGTGTAGCAATCCTGGACACAGGAGCCTCTAAGTCCGTGATTGGAAAAAAGAGACTAGAGCAGCTGCTCGTCAATTTGCCGAAGGAATATGCACGTCAGATCTCATGGCAGAAGTCTGATACCGTGTTTAGATTCGGAAACAATGGGACATTGAAGAGTCTAGGTGCGGTTTTTTCTGCCTTTTGGTAAGCGTTGGCTAAAGCTTGAAGTGGTTGATGGCACTACTCCTTTTTTACTGTCAAATGCCTTTTGCAAAGCAGTGTCGGCAGATATTTGCACCTCGAAGCGTGAATTGTGCATGTTTCATGGACGTGTGAGTGTTCCATTGACGGTGAGTGAGAAAGGTTTGTTCTTGGTTGACTTGTTAGATGTCATGAAACATGCTGGCAGTGCGGAAGTGCAGAATGAGACTTGGGAGGTCGTGACTCATATGCTAGAGTTTTCCAATGTAAACGGTCATGGAAACAACCTCACAACGACAAACACAGACACGAACCAGCCGAGCACAGAGATGACACGACAGACATGCCCAGCAGCCCTTCGAGTTTCAAGCAGTGCCGAGATTTCCCAAGCCAATCACCTACTCCATGGCGCCCAAGAAGGTGATCCCAACATATGCGGCGGTGTCGGGACTGGACAGTCCCCTGACCTTTCCAGAAGATGCAACGTTGACCAACATCTCATCGGTCAACGATGCCAAGATCGTCAAGCCGCCGGGTGTGACCACATTGAGGCAGTGGGGAGATCAGGTCTTGGGAGGCGGCAAGCATGCAGGCAAGACATTTGCCCAGGTCCTGGCCATCGATGCGAGCTACGTGGAGTTCATGAAACGAAAGGGAGATTGCACTTCAGCCTGGGCTCTCAGCTTTCACAACTATGTGTTGGCCACCGCTCGGATGGAGACGACCATGCCGGTGGAAAGCCAGCAGCCAGTGCTGACGCCTCAGATGATCAAGAAGACCCGAGAGGAGTGGGCACAGCAGGGAGCGACAGCCACAGACTGGGATGTGATCGACGACCTGAACAGCTACCACCGCTCGGAAGTTCCCGTGGGAATCCCATCCATGGCAAGTGGATCGGCACCGGGAAAACGAGGAGTGCCACTTCTCGAGGACCATCAGAAGATGCAGGTGGACCTTGCGAAGGAGAACCGAGATCGAGTGACCCAGATCCAGACGCAGATAGCCATTCTGCAACGCGAGTTGGCTTTCCTGATGCCAGCAGAGGAATCATGAATGATACAAGTGAGAAGTTGAGTTATGAGAACCAACCTTCGTTTGAACTTCATACCAGTATGGACACTCCAATCAACGACTTCTTTGCCAAGGAGTTAGCTAACCTGGTGGAAAAGATTGAGTTTCAGATGCAAGAGTTGGCAAACCACTCAGCTGACATCCGGACACGACACTTAGCACCACGAACCCACAATTCGAAGGAGAGATTGGACATCCTGGAAATCTACTGTTATCCAAACTCCCACCTGACACAGATAGCAAGCCAGATGGGGTTGAAGACCCGTCGATTCACAATCCAGGATGGTGATCTCCGGACCCCTGAGGGTCAGAACAAGCTATGGCAGATCCTGGAAACACAGCAGCCCACACACATTTGGGCTTCACCTGACTGCAAGTTTTGGGGAAATTTCTCCAGACGCAACATGGGCAGAAGCAAACAACTGAGAACCTACATACTAGACGGGAGAAAACATGAAAGACCAAACTTGAGTTTGTGTGAAGAACTATTCATGTACCAGGTAGAACATGGAAGACATTTTCATTTGGAACAGCCTGTCGGTTCTGAGATGGTAGTTCAACCCGAATTGGAACAATTGAGATGGGGTACTCTGCCAACGGTTTTTGACATGTGTGAAGTGGGTAGGCTGAATTGGAAGGGTGAGTCGATGAGAAAGAGAACGATAGTTTTGACGACCTCCCGAAATTTGCATAGAGCGCTAGACTGTCGATACTGTCGCAAGAAACATGAACATAAGCAGATTGCAGGACAGGTGAAACACCTTGGAAGGTGGATGCCACTTTCTGCCTTCGCTGCGAAGTACTCGTCAGACTTTGCGCGTGCAGTGGTTCGAGCTGTACAGATCGATCCTCAAGAACGTCCTTTAGTGTTTGATGAACTCTTAATTTCAGAACAAGGACAAGAAGTAGATGAGGTATTGGTAGGGGAGGCATTGAAACGAAGACGACTCATCTCGAAGCAAACGGTAGGAGAGAGGACGCAAGAAGATAAAGATTTGGATGTCAATCGTAGGATGGACTTTGAAAAGAGAATCAAGACCCTTTTTGGAGACCTGGACAAACTGGCCCCGAGAGTAGGTTCAATAGTTCTAGGACCGGAAACTGCTGTTTTCAAACAGGCCCAGGGTTTCTGTACCTTCCGACTAGTACATGCAGAGGTATGTCGAGGGACTGAACGGTTGAGGATTCCCAAAGCGTCTACTCCTTTGGAAGATCTTGTTTTCAGAAAAACTTTTTCACTTCGTCGATCGTCCGGAAATATCGAACAAGTCGGAGAGGAAGAGGAATGGCAAAAGCTGCCACAGCGGCAGCGCATCAGAAAAGGCATTCCTTCGAAGATTACTTTAACCCTGTTTGGTACTAAGCAACCTGAAACGTCCGGCCGGGAACCTAGGAAAGACGACATGATGATTGAACCCGTCGGGGAGAAACGAAAGATTGAAGATGTTCCAGAACAAGAAACCTACGTAGGAAAGAGGTCTAGAATGGGGATGGGGGACACTGACTTGATGGAAGATGACCCCGAAAAGAAGGGAGATCCTCAGACATCAGGGGAAGAGTTAGAGATTCCTGGAAGACCACCCCGGAATTTGTCAAGACATGGACCTGGTTACCTGAATCTAGATAGGGAGAAACAAAAGTGGATTCAACAGGTACACCACAGACTTGGACATCCGGATGCCGACACGTTTGTTCGTTTCCTTCGATCCACGAACGCAGAGTCGGAGTTGACGGACGCCGCCCGTGATTACCAGTGTGATGCATGTTCAGAGTCCCGGAAAGGCTTCGATCTTTCAAAGGTTGGGGGGGATACATGAGAATCTTGGTTTTAATGATACCATCGGTATGGATGGTGCAGTGTGGACCAATGCTCAGGGAACCCAATTCCATTTCACGCACATTATCGATGAAGGGACACTGTTTCATGTAGCCCGACCATGTGGTAGTGATTCGAGTGCACAATGGAATCTGCTAGAAGATCACTGGTTTAGTTGGGCAGGACCTCCAAAGACCATTTATGTGGACCCCGCAAAAGAATATTTGAGCGAGGCATGGATGACACGAATACAAGAACTAGGGATCACCCTGAAAGTTTCGGCCCGTGAATCACATTGGCAACTAGGCAGGGTGGAGGCCCATGGATCCATCCTGAAGGGAATGTTGACACGTATGGATCTAGAGGTACCAATCCTAGAAGAGGAGTCATTCAAACGAGCCATAGTCCAAGCATGCCATGCGAAAAAACTCATTAACACGGAAATCTGGGTACTCACCCGAACAAGCGGTTTTGGGGTGTGCGACCAGACTACCGGGTTCCGTTACTTCAGATGATAGTGCACTGAGTCATGAAAGAGCGCTAGATGAGGGCCCCAATAAGTTCAAAGAAGCTTTAGACCTCCGAGAATCCGCACGAAGAGCTTTCATTTCCTTGGATAATTCAAACAGTCTAAGACGGATCATGTTGCGGAGAAGTAGACCGGTTAGGGAGAATTTTGAGGTGGGGGACTTGGTTTTGTATTGGAAACGAAAAGGTGGAAACATGAGACGGGAACGAGGACAGTGGTTTGGACCTGCTCGTGTCGCCCTTGTGGAAAGTAGGAAGGTGATATGGTTGGTGCACGCCCATCGTCTCGTTCGAGCCAGTCCACAACAGTTGCGTGCAGCTTCACTTAGGGAATGGAAGATGATCAAAGACACCGAAGAGTTTAGAGTACCAGCCCCTGATTGGGCTCGTAGGATAGGTCACCAGGACTTGTGCGAGCTTGATCCAGATGATCTTCCTGAACCGAGTGAACCCGATGTCGAGCGGCCCGATCCCGGCGAGACACCTGGGGAACCAGAAGATGTTTTGGTTCCTGAGCCTGAAGAAGAAGTATCTGCTCCGACTAGAAAACCTTCCATGAACGTTGAGGTAGACGGCACCGATGTTCCGGTTCCTGAGGATGATGAATTGTTTGGGGATACCATTTTCTTTCAGGAGGTTGGTCAGGGGCGGTGTTGGGAAATAGATGTGACACCTGCCTGTGAGATCGAAAGTGCTGGTGGAACACCAGATGCCCTGATTTTGGCCGCTGTTTCTGAACGAAAGAAGAGAACTGAGATAAAGTTGAAGGAGTTGTCCCAGGAAGATCAGAAACGGTTTGCAGTGGCCAAGCATAAGGAACTTGGCGCCTGGTTGCAGCACAAGACAATTCGAAGAGTATCCCAGGGCAAGATCCCCGACAATGCCATCATGCGTTGCCGATGGCTGTATGTTTGGAAGACAGCATCCGGAGACGAATTACCTACGGATCTGTCGTCTGAAGGAAAGAAAGCCAAGGCCCGTTTGATTGTTATAGGTTGGGAGGACCCTGACTTGGACCAGGTGATCAATGATGCACCAACTCTCTCGAAGGATGGAAGGACCGTTTTGCTTCAAGCAGTTGCCAGTCATCAATGGCCTTTGATTTCTTTTGATGTCTCAACTGCTTTTCTTCATGGAAAAGGTGACGGTCGACCCCTAGGTCTAGTTCCGGTTCCAGAAATGCGTGAAGCCCTGAACATGTCAGAGACAGACCAGGTGCAACTGGATGGAGGGGCATATGGCAGGATAGATGCTCCCTTTCTTTGGTTCTGTGAGTTTAGGGATGAACTGAAACGCCAAGGATGTCGACAATCACCTCTCGATCCCTGCGTTTTTACCTACCACTCCCAGGATGGTCTGGAAGGCTGTCTTGGGATTCACGTTGACGACGGCATTGGCGGAGGCAGTCCAAAGTTTATGGACATGCTACGTAGGGTAGAGAAGAAATTTAAGTTTGGGGCTTTTGAAGAAGGAGAATTCACCTATACCGGGATTCATTTTAGGCAGTGGGATGATGGATCGATTGAGTACGACCAGGTCCCCTACATCGAGAAGATACAACCCATCGCTCTTGGGAAGGGACGCAAAGAAGATCCTGAATCCTTGATTTCAGAAGGTGAAAGGACCGCTTTCAGAAGCCTCATTGGAGCACTCCAATATGCAGCAGTACATAGCAGGCCAGATCTAGCAGCCAAAGTAGGAGAGTTGCAGAGTGAGGTCACTAGGGCACAGGTAAAACATCTAGTTTTGGGAAACAAAGTGCTGACAGAGGCCAAGCAGAATCGTGTTTCATTGATGGTGTTGCCGATCCAGCCCGAGAGAGTGACCTACTGTGCATTCTCGGATGCCTCCTTTTCATGCACCAAACATACCACGGCACAACAAGGAACCATAATCTTTGCAACGACACCCGAACTTTTGGAAAATAAGAGGTCTGTGGTAGCTCCAGTCGCCTGGTATAGTAAGAAGATTCCTAGAGTTGTCAGAAGTACACTTGGTGCCGAGGCAGCAGCACTGAGCAATTCAGTCGACCGACTTTTGTGGCTCCGGATCCTGTGGGCAACAATCCTCGACCCGGACTGTGATTGGAAGAATCCTGAGGTTTTGTTGAAGAGCCAGAATCAAGCAGGCCTAGTCACCGACTGTAAATCGGCCTACGACCTTTTGACACGAACAGCGTTGCCACAGTGTTCTGAACACAGGACGACTATAGAGTGTCTGCTGATTCGCGAGAGGCTTCGTGATAATGCCACCGTCAGGTGGGTTTGCTCACAAGCGATGTTAGCCGACTGCTTGACGAAGACAATGGACAGCAGTGCTTTGAGAGAGTGTTTAAGAACTGGCAAATACATCCTTCGGGACGAAAACCACACGTTGAAAGAACGGCTAACTGCTCGGGAGCGACTGAAATGGATCAAGCAGCATGGATCGACAACAACTCGATCATCCGAAGAAGCCATGTTGACTGAACAGATCGGCAAATCTATGCATGAGGAGGATTTTTGGAAAATGGGTCCAAAGGGAGAACTCATTCGGGTGCACGTGAAACCAAGATATCAGTTGTTTTCACCTGTCGGGGTTGTTGACTGTCCTGTTGACTTGAGAAAACTCGAAGTTTTTAGGGACACCTACCAACAGGGGTGTGCAGGAGAACGCAGCTACTGGGTGGGAACATGTGCACATCGAAAGACTTCCTTCCCATGGACCGGCGAGACAGTCTTTTACAAAATAAAAGAGTAAAGGGTGTGTGAAGCTCACAAGCTTACCAATCAGATGTCTCGCATGACGACCTTTTGATCGAACCTACCGAAAGGGTGGGTGGGTGGACCGAACATCGTCGACAAAGAGCGAGGCCGCTTGGACAAGAGGACCGGGTTTCCCCAAGGTTAGGATCATTCAACTCCAGGGTGAGATTAACAATATATATATATATATATTTACCCAAGGTTTGCGATGCTTTTGGAGGTTGACTCATCGAAGCTCCAACCTGAATGGTAAATTGCAGAGTGCATGATAATGACATATACCTGCAGTATGCCATTGGCGGCAGCTGACTAACAAAAAAGAGTACCCTGAAACCATCACCTAGAATCTCAATCAACCACAATGGATTTTGGAGAGAACCATCAACCATACACCTGCTGACACTCCAGCAACTTGTCCGCTTCAAATCATCCCCCAACATGAGGCCTGTCTGTTCCTTATCCAATCTTCCTGCCCCGAACCGAACAAAACTTCGAGACCTTCCCTACCTGCCCGGACCTGCCGCGACCTGCCAAGGACTCGTCGACGAGCTGCCGCACCACATCCGGCGCTTCCATGCGATGCTTCTCGCCGCTTCATGGTCTCCATGCCGTCGCCATGGTCCGGTGCGGCCCCGGTGGCGTCCGGTGATGTCCGGTTTTCGATCGGGAGATCTGATGATCAACACACATGTCGTGGTGAGAGGCGATCAGTTGTTATGTTGCAGCTTTCCTGCACCCGGCATGCCATATATATGTTAAGTGTTTGGGATATGAGGGATGTAAAAAGATGGAACATGATAACTGGTTTGTATATGGACAACGTGTCTCCGACTTTCAACAGGAAGTAGGAACACTTGCAGCAACACCCCGGCGGTAGACAGGGTTCCCCAACCTGGGCCCATCCTCTCAAGTGTTGGTCGCCTTGTTCAGCTGGAAGAGGGATGTCAGCTGGAGGTCAAACGAGGCAACTGTTTCTAGAACGAAATGATGTAAGCTGGTCAAATGTTCGTCATTCCACAGTACCACAGTAGTACCACATAACCGTCAATTCCAAGCTGGTCAAATGAGCTTACGCAATTCCATGTGGTACTTGAACGTTGTCTAGATGGCACTGTCGCTTGTGATATGTCGAATCATCGTCCATCTCTTTTCGTAGCCGCGGAGGGTGAGGCTTCAGGTTTTCTGCAAATGGTCTTCCAACGCTCAATGGCACTCGATGTACTTCAGGAGTTCTCTCTGCCATTTGCTGCATCAATCATGTAGACTCTTGAAAAAACAAAAAAAACACATTATGTCTTTTAAAGAAAACAAACATATGAACCATACGAAGAGGTGCTACAAACCAAATGGCAAGTCACGTTTCCTCTGTGTGATGTTGCCTCTGCCGTCTGTTGGTCCCAAGAATGACAGGCACCAGTCTGTTCAGATTGAAAGTATGTCTCCCCAAAGGCCAGCCAGAACCCTCAAACAGAGTCAACCTGTTATTAGGTTAATAATGGTTTATATATGCTTATATTTGTTTGTATCGATATATATATATATATGGATTTGGATTTTTGTTGACGTTCCCGGGCCAGGATGTTTGACTACGGGGTATGCATCGGAGGTGGTATGCTTGGCATGCTTCGCACGGTGTATAGCATTTTCAGAAGGTACAGTATGCTTCGGGGGTATGCTTTGGGGTATGCTGCGCCTAAGTCGAACATCCCAGCCCTAAATATAATGGACACCTAAAAGAAGACCAACCCATATATATATATAGGCTCTTGACTCGCATGGCTAGCACATGCAAAGCTTTAGACAGGTGCACAACAACTGTTCACTCACAGATGGGGGGCCCTCTACACCGGGCGTTGATCTCTTCTCGGCTGCCACCCGTGTTGATTCACCTCATCCAGGTTTTAACATGGCCTCACCAGCCTTGATGGTCCCTGACCTACTGCTATGCACCTGGTACCAGCTCAGACACTTTGTGTGTCTCCAATCGTTTTACTACCAATGGAATGGTGAAGGTGGCAGGTGGCCTAGGAATGAACATGTTAGTTTCACCGGAATAACATCATCCCGGTCCTCGCAGGTCACGAGATGGTTTGTATCGCCGGCCACGAGAGATGCACGCAGGTCCGACATCGGTGTTGTTTCAATCGACCGTACACTCTCAGTGTGTGTGTTTTTTGCTGTTTTTTTCAGGAATCTGGTCGATGTCAGTCTCACCGTTTCACTTGTTTTGCACGGCGTTGATGATTTATCACATTGCCCTGTCACGCTAGCACCAAAAGCAGGACGAGGAACACGGTCTGTCGGACGGTGACTCCGTCTTCGACACGGATTCCAAGATTTGCCTCAGCGCTTCTTCTGTTTTTTTTGGGGGGGGACGCAAGGTGCATGACTACCCCCCTGGGGGGGCCTATAAAGTCGGTATTTCACCACCAAAAGTGGTGAACAGTGTGCGAAACAAGATGGTTCAAGATGACCATGAGACCAGGCTCCCGAGACAATGGACTGCTTAAACCATCTTAAACCCACTACCAAGTCGATCTACCTGTTTGTTTTCCGGACTAGAAGACTCATCCACACCAATTCGCCGAGCTCGACTGGAGGATTCATCCTTTTTCTTGTCTGGTCCAGCCCGTCTCGCACCTGAGGAGCCTTCGCGGGGACATCCGTCCTGAGCCCGGCAGAATGAGTTGGTGGGTGAAGGTGTCGAATGAGTTGGCCAGGGGATGCAATACGAGTGGGAAGTAGGGGGGTTGATTGAGGGTCAGTTTTTGCATAAATTCAACTTTGGTTGTGTTTATTCAGGAAAACTTCAAACATTGCAATGACAACATTATCAACCAACCTGGAAGAAACACATTACATGACAAACAACTCGCTGATCTGTTGGTAAGTGAAGAACATATTGGAGGAGAGTGTCTGTTGAAGGCTAATGAAACCTCAAGCCCCTTGCAAAGTGACCCTGGGGACTTCTATATTATGGACTGCTTGGAGCTACGGTCAAACATCAACAATTTGTTATAGAATCTTTGCCTGGATCTTCCAACTGCACACAAGTTACACTTGTTCATACCGGCCAAAACGCCAAGGCAGACATGTTGCATGGCTGGAAGATACGGGAAAATTGTGACACCCCGCCCCTTGGCCCGGTTTGCTGCGAGCTTTGCGATGAACATTCGATACCGTCAAAGGGCGGTACCGTAAGTACCGTAATTCTTGCACAGTGCAGCATGAGACATACGTATGTCAAAATACAGATATACAAAGGCCCACCCTTGTCCTGTATTTGTCTCGTTGCAGTGCAAGATCTAATTTGTCAAACATCACCCACTCATGCACCTTAATAGTCATGCGCAGCGAGAGGTCCCTTGACTCCCCCCAGCGCTGGCCCACTAGTCCGGGGTTAGCGTGAGCCACGAGTCTGGGGTAGCCCCCGCCCTTTAGTTTTACCTGTCACCGCCGGCGGTTTGGTCGATTTCACGTAGTCAAACATGTTACTTCCTATCTTCCTGTGGTGACTCTTCTTCTGTCTCTTTCCAGCTCCCCCTGCCCTTTTGGGAATGCTCGAAGGTTTGGAGCTCTATACATTTGGTTTGTTCGTAATTATTGACATCTATACGCCTGGGCTTGTTTGTTGCCCTTCCAGAATAGCAAGGCCTTCATTGATGTAAAGGCGGGCAATCTTACTGGAGGGCGGTGGGCCCCACAAATAACTGACCCTTGAAGTGCCTTGAAGGGTGAAATCCGCCGGCACAGAAGAAGGTTGGGCTAGGAACATTGAGCTCCTAGGGCTTTTGCTTGGGAGAGGGATGTCTTTTGGAACGGAAATGCATACCCTGCATCATGAGATGTGCCTGGAGGGAAGTGGTGAGGTGGAAGAAGACATGCAAAACATATGAAAAATGCATGGTTTTGCAACATTTGATGTGGAGGTGGTGTCCCATATGATCTGGGACAGGATATGAAGTGGTATGCTTGCAGTGAGAATGACCCAAGGTGCTGAGAGAAGTTTGTTTGCCTTTCATGGACCTGGTGCTGCAAGCAAAGTACATTAATGAGATTCATCCACTGCATGGTCCTTGTCATGTCTAGGTCAACATGCATACTGCAAAGTTTATTGTCATGGACCAATTTTGTGTCTTCCGTGGACATTTTTCAGGGGGGTCCAACCAAAATCCAACCATGCTTGACCGGAGCCATGGAATCGCTGTTTTAAAGCTCCTGTCGATGTATTGGCGGATGAGAGCTTGGTTAAGAGCATGGCCGTGATGTTCCGGATGTGCTGTTCCTGGAAGGCTTCCAATTCCAGTTCTGCCCGGGCCCGCCGTCTCGCTGGCCCAGTATAGTGGGTCTGATCGATGCAACAACGCCAGCGTCTGGTAGAGGTGTTCGGGCACCAGGTCGAGCTCCGGCCGCTGCAGGTCGTCAATGTCACGAAAGGGCGGGTTCATGAGGACCCACTGCCCATACTAGCGGCCGTTGTAGCGGGACAAGTATATGGCCACCACGTCAAAGGAGCTCTGGCTGAGCATAATCTGCAGGGCTTCGCTGGCCAGTTTGGAATCTCGTTTGCACTCACGTTGTGAGGAGCTGCCAAGGCAGCCACAGTGTCACATGCCAAAGCCCTTCCTTCACCTGCCTCCCATCACAACTTCCTCTCACGACGATTCCTCTCTGCATCGCGGGCCGCTTTGAACAACCCGGCCACCCGCGTAGCCGATGGTCCGACCGCTTGGCCGGGTGCAATGTAAGATTGCGCCATCGCGCAGGCACTTCCTGGAACCTTGAACGGCTCTTAGTCTTGTTCAGTCGCAAGTGAAACTTGTCCAAACAGCAAGTGGCTCTTGGCTCAGGAAGCACTCATGGAAACATGCAAGAGGACATAGGAACAAAAATAGTCATGGGAACAACTTAGACAAGATACTTTATCTTTGCTTCCCTTGGACTTAAAGCCATGAGCTCATCCAGTTCATCCACATCCACGTCATCTGATGTGAATACGGTGGAGGACCTAACATCTTGTTTGATGATGCTCATGTCCCCAAATCTTCAAGGGTTCTTTCACCCAGCTATTCACAAATGAACAGGACTCTCCTGCAGATCATCACCAAATGCATTCTAACAGACTCCCAATCCAAACAATGGTGATCTCAGCTGTTCATCACTCATCAGAAGGCGAGATCAAACCTTAACACGCTGCTCATGGTTTTACGTGCCGACACCCTGGACCCTGGGGGACCCTTGGTCCGGAGCACATGAGTTCACATGAGTTCATGGTGCGTTGGTCTGATGTTCCGGGTTTGAACCTGTCTGGACCTGCAGACATGTAGAGCTTCTCCGGGTTTTGGAGCAAAACCGGACGAAGGACCTGCGACCATCTGAGACCCCCGGCGACTTCGCCACCGGCGCGCTGGCCTGACATGCTCCATCTAAAGCCAGTCAGTAAAGACTGTTTCGTCTATCTTTCAGAGGCTATAGGATTATAGTCTAAAAAATACAGCACACAAAATCATGCGACGTTGACATGCTTCATAGAATTTCACTTCCGACTGCAGGAAAGTGGCGAAGTGGGATCGAAGCTCAGTTCTTTCACGTTCAGATCAGTGGAAGCTTCGCGCGGTTTCGCGGTGCCCGCACGGTCCGCAGCGCAGCTCGGTGCCTCACCCTCCGGCACCGGCCT